TTGCTGAAAATTCAGGTTTGTAAAATCCTCAATATAGCATTCTTCTTCAAAGGTGATTGCCCGCAGGTTTACCTTGTACATTTCACCCCCTTCCCACATATAAATATTATGGTCCGATAAGAATTTGTAGAAAGCGTACGTATGCTCGCCAGCTACTCTTCTGAATTCACAATAATATTTCTTTATCTGGAAGCAGGACTGACGTTCCACCTACTCCTCGAATTCGCCCAATACACACTACGCATTAGGTCTAAAAAACTGCCTATATATAATTAACCTTCCTACGCAAAAGCCTCCTCTTGCTACATATTTTATGCGCAGAAGCAGTAACTTCAACTACGCTTCTCTTTCAACTGACTATTTTTCAAAAAATGCATAACCCCCCCCACCCCTAAACATGCCTTTTCAGAAAGAGATGGTGTGTTAATCATCTCAGAAAAATTCATAACCTTAGGATACATTAAAACGCGCTGTAGAAATATGCACAAATGGGAAAGTGACACGTCTCGGGATCGGAAGATTTTCCAACCATGAACTGGCTAGATATCAGATATGCGTTTTATTGAGACTATTTTCCCTAACAATTTGTTACGCAACTTCAGCTAAGTTTTCTTATTCGCTTATCTTAGTCGCCTATCTTTCCCTCAATAAACTGAGACTGATACTAGAACTACGGCAGAAGAGTGTCGTCAAGATTTAATAGGTTTCAGTGCATACTGCGTATTGCAGTAACTTCTGCTAACCTGGCCTGCAATAGCCCACTGATGAAAACAGGCGTGAAAGTACACCCTACTGTAGCATCATCATCCTCTGTTAATCATATCTACCCCGTAAAATTTCACAAAACACAAGAAGAAATGATAAATGTCCTTGCCCAAATCATTGAAAATGTAAAAGGTAAAGGGAACAGCGCTCCAGAAGTTAGAAGTATACTTTAAATTCCGCAATGGGCACTGAGGTATTGTATGTTTGATTGGGAGTTGTCGGAAAGACCAATATATTTCATATCTCTACTTAAAATGTGCCAGAAAAAAAGACCACAGCACTTATACACAATTATTTAGGCCGCATCCTGTGACAGCAATAGCTCGCGAATAATACTTCTAAATATATAATTGGAGGGGCACTGGAATAGAAGCCATGTTGGCAGTATTCTCATGTAGTGCATACTTATTTGTTTTAAGTAATATTACACACATAATCTAAATCTCTACTCAAACAAGAGTGGAACGGTGTGGAGCGGTGTAATACATCTTTTAAATGCGTTGGGAAAAAGGACTAGGAACTGCCTGTAATACAAGTGACCATGCTCAAAAATCTTTGATGGGCAAATATTCCCCCGTATTAACCCTAACCAAAATCTTTACTCTAACAATAATTTCATACTTTATTTTATCACTAACCTTAACCCTATATATATTTGGTAGTAGCGCAGAGTCCCAGGTATAAGAAGGCACATTTCCCCTGTCCTGCTAACAGATGCTTATTCGCTTAGGCGTTTCTGACCTTGTTCATGCTTGTATTGTATGTTGTTTTTATGAAACCGATAAATTTTAAAGTATTTCACACTCCTGTTTATACAAACGAGTGGCAAAAGCGCATACGGAGATGGAGACAGCGGACTAGGTACTCTCACCTGCTGGAAGACATATATTGTGGCTGAAGGGACTCTTCTTTCCGGAGGAGGTTTTCCAGGCTGCCGTTTATTGAAAAGTTGCCGATTAAATCGGACACGGACAGTGAATCTCGGTCCCAGGCGACTACCTTTATCCACAACGAACTCTGTGAAGGGCAAAATAAATTAGAAATATCGCGGAAATGCAAGAAAGTTATTTAGGCCTTGGGAGTTTAAATGGAATACAGACTAGTTGTCTCTCTACCAGCATTTCAGTAGAACTACGAGTCTTTCTTTTCAACGCAGAGGCGCACCATTGCAACGATATTTGTGCGCTTACAAATGGGACCATTGAAGGTGCTACTACAGAATATTCTAACCTCGAAATATTCAAGTCGTGGTTATTTAAGAAAGCAATAGATTCAACTCTACTCTAGGGATAGATGGCTGCATAGGTATTTGGAATTCCGTTTAACTGTTTTATTTCTGCAAAAAACTACAAGGAATCAACGAAAACTCTATTCATAGCTATGACTACCACACTCAACTCAGTCTACAAACACTTAAAACTAACACATAAATTCCAATTTGACAAACCGATTGTTCACTGTGGGCAGCAAGTCAGGTACATAGGAATAAAACTTATTCTGACCAGCACCAAACTGCATCAAACCGCATTTACGAGCTCCGGTTTTTAGACAGCATGACAGTCTACCAAGCCTAGCATGAAATGCAATGTGCATCAGCCAACGAGGCTTAGCATCCGACAGCGCACTGACAGAGGCGCAGAAAAGGCGAATCGGGCCATGCATAACCACTTTACAGGTGCTGTCGTAAATTGGAATTTTGACTCTATGTTCCAGCCGACAACATAGTCTATTTCAGTAAAAAAAAAAATAACGGTCAGTCGTACGGTCTAGACTGAAATAGAAACCGGAAAATGTAAATCATTTCGTCCAACTGGGGCATCGTAGGCCTTAGAGCTCCAGCCGACTAACTCTCTATCAGATCATTAGGCTGTAATTACCGTAAATGGGATCATTTCCGAGTTCTGTTTCTATTATGGAATCCGAATTATGTTGCACAGTAGAACTATGAGAAAAATTTACTCCACTTTAATTATTCATATCTGAGGAAATTCAGAAAGTCTAAATTTCAAAACTAGAGCGTCTACCACAAGGCCCATGGAAAACACTGGGGTACCATCTGATGAGACGAACCATTCGCAGCTGTGTCATGTCGGGTAACCTAAATATACTTGTGGCGGAAATCAAGAGTTCATTATTTCTTGAAGAAACCATTTGTTAGGGATAAATTGCAGTTAGGTGCTTTGCTAATTTTCTAATCACTGTTTAGGAAGAAGAGTATGTCATACGTACGTACCGGCACTGGTGATGGAAGTGGGATATTTATTCTCTCATCATTGGCGAATTCTATGTGATCCTGTTCCGTAAATGTGTCCGTCATCTTGCTCAGCAGGTCGCAACGTCTGCATATGGAATTAATTCAAATTAAGCACTCCATTTCAACCCAAACAAACCTCTTTTGAGTACTAAGGTAGTTTTCAAGTCTTATAAGTAACTTTTTACTATTCAGGTCAAAATAAATTTCGGTGTCATTTAAAATCGATTGTCAAGTCAAGGTGCCATTCTTGTTTAGAA